TCTTACGCGGAATCGAACCTTAGCATATTCTATTCCGCTTATGCGTTAATTAGAATATTTTAAAATGTTGAATATTTTCGAAAAATTATAATAGTAACAATTGATATTGTGGAAAAATTTTTTTTTTTTCAATGCAAAATATTATCAATTTTATCTTTTTTTTTCTGCCATAATTTTCTAATTCTAATTCCTATTTTTAAGTACAGAAAAAAAAATTGATAAAACTGATTGCTAACATTTCTTACGAGCACTTTTCATCGTTCGCTTTTACTAATTCGTTCTCGCTTTTCATCGTTGTTCTTAGATAAAATAAATATTTTAAGCAAACATTGACCAATACCATATAAAGAGATGACAATTAAGACCACAAGCAAATAATTCTGATCTTTCACAATTTTGTTATAAGTCCACATTTTGGCTCATAATATGGCCATTGGAAAGTACAAAGATTTCGTTTAAAACTATAAATTTTTAAATCTGCCAAACAACGGATGATTTTTTTCTTGAATTGAGACTTATCGAAACGAGAGAAATTAATCCTCGCGAAAATTTTTCCTAAATAATTTGAACTTTTATACAACCGGTTTAGTTCGAGGATTAATAGAATGTCTAGTTGCGCAAATAAACAGAATCACAAATTATCTCATTTCGATATTCTATTATTTCATTACGGTAATACTGATATGATAATATGATAACACTTATCAGGACAATAAAAATATAAAATAAGTATAACAAGTATTATCAAATATAACAACTGATAAAAAAAAATATGAAATGAAAATTACTATCATCGGTTTTTCTTAATGGAATAAAATTAATTAATTCACTCGGCGAAGAGAATGGATGATGTTTTGTGTATTTGATCGGCCTATATGGTGCAAGGCCGAATAAAAAAAAAAGCGAAGACAGGTGGACAGGTGAATAGAATCGACTTAAAAATGGCAAACAAAGGTAAATGCATGGCCATTTTGCTCCGCCTTATTAAGTGCAAACCACCATCGATAACAGACTGACCGGATTCTTCTTGGTTTATTTATTTGTCACCAAGGATACATATATTTGCTGTACTTAGCTCAATTTCATTTTTAAGGTATATCCTATAAAATAATGCACCTATGCTTTAAATGTTACCAAATCCACAATCTGTAACCGAATTAACCGTATTTCTCGAATAAATCATGATATACTCTCTAAAAAAAGTATTTAAAAACATTAAATAAGAAATATATTAAATAAAAAAAATATGATTGCCATTGAACCATGCGAATAACGACGAACCACCAATAATATAATTGGTCTTTAATGTCACTTGTACCAATATTCCGAATTCGCACCAAAAATATTGCATACTTTTATAAATTTGTGTTTTTTTTTTTTTTTTTAAAGTGAATTGATGATGAAAATTGTGGTTTTTTTTAGAAATTTTAATTAGTATTTAATTGATGTACCAATTAGTCATTGTTTGCTGAAATCGAATTTTATAAGCAGCAAAAATTTAAATTAATAATTTGACCAAAATTTAGAAGAATTGATATGATCTGATAATTTTTGTGCTTAAAATTATAAAATTATAAAATTATAATGCATTTAATTTAATAAGTGTAGAAGAAATAATTAAGTAAAGTACAAAAAAAGTAAATTAGTAAGTAGATTGTCGAGAAATGCCCGAATAATTAATTAATCTTGCAATATTCAAATAGCGCATCATGCACCCTGCTTATCAGCATAAAGCAAATTCGTACTTCAAGCATTTCTATTGTTCTTATCTTATCTTGGTCGCGTATCTGGTATCAAATAAAAATTTTAATAAAAAGCATCATTCCTTTGCACCAAACCAAAGAATCAACTCAATATTCAGTTCCACTTCAGTTACTGGGCCAACAGTTATGTCGAATCGACAGTCTCACGACGTTATGAGCCAACCGTCCATATTGCGCCATTAAAATCTTGTCCATCGCTGTACTTCGTAATCAGTTACTCTAATTTTGTTCAATGAAAATTTGACATGCCTAATTACTCTGATATATTCATATCACTAAGGTTAATCCTAATCGACATATACTTCTCACGATGATGAAATAATTTCGGTACATAAGAAACTTTTAACAAAAACTACCAATTAAACATGATGTGCAATTTATCGAAGCCATAAAGAACATGAAAAAATGGAAATGAAAATATACACTATGATAGGATATAATGGCTCGGTGGGGTTTTGCTTCCATTTCAGAGCGCCTTTACAAGAGTTCTACGTGCAGCGGGGTTTGGTAAAACTGTTCTTTCAAAAAAAATCCTAACATTATGGTTATATTTTACATATGTTACTCGATATGACTCAAATGACTCTCTGGCAAACTTTATCAGATTTTGATAATCCAGTAAGGCGAATTTATCCAAAAATTTACATATATCTATTAATTATACCGCTCTATTAAAAATTACCATCACAAATAGTGAAGTAATTAATTTTTATTTGAAAAAAAATTTCTCATTATTCGTATATAATTTCTCAACAAAATAATTACAAATACAAATGATAAATGATAAAACTATACGCCTAAAATTCTATCTAATTTTTCTTCAATTCATCATTTTTTTTTTAATAGTATTTTTTCAAATTTCCATAAATTTTTTTTTTTTAATTTAATCATAAATTTTACGTAAATTGAAATTGAAATTTGTAATTTCTTTTGTCAAAATATTCTTTGCTCTGTTTTTATCAATTTTTTTCACTTTTTATTGCATAAAGTGAAATTCGCATATTTTTCGAGAACGAAAATAAGCAAATACTTTCAGGAAAATTAAGACTTATAGAAGAAGTTTTAGAAAATAGAATATTTGCTTAAGCGTTCATAAATAGCTCAAAAATTTTGCAAAAAAACTTTGCACAAATAAACTTTAAAATATTCAGAAAACAAGTTTTCCTATAAAATTTTTTAAAAATTTTAATATTTAAATATATTTCTCTAAAATTATTACTTAAATAAAAGCAAAAGCGGAAAAGTTTGTCTATTATTTAATAGCAACACTGAGGCGTTTACCAGCTTATGCAACTCATGCAACTCATGCAAATGAATCCCCAAAGTAGCGCATGTTCTCATAAAATATTGTCCTCTCTTTAGGAAATAATTTCCTTAAAAATTTCCGGCATATCGAAACCATTTGAACTTGTTGGCTTGCTTGAAAGTTTATGATTAAAAAGACCACAATTAAGAGACTATTACCGTCAAATTCGACCTCCATTGAATAATACTGTCAAAAATTCTTTGCAGATAATTATAGTAATTTAAATATCACATATAACTCTCTAACGGAACGAAAATCGTCAAACTGACGGGTAATTATCACTGGATTTTTTGAATGGAATGGAATCGCTTGCAATTATGAAAGTTGTTCTGATGATTTATTAAAAGTTTTATGTATTTAGGCAGTGATTTTAAAACTGTGACCATTAAAACGAAGGTCAAATGTGCGTCAATTTGAACCAGAAACGACTGGATTAAACGCACTTATCCAAGCACTGAAACCACTGTGTAATACGGTCAAGTGATATTGTATATTGTTAAAAATTTGCTACTAAGAATAAAGAAAGTGGCCAGCTTCACGCACAATGAGAATTCATTACATTTTAAGCAGATGATGTTGGGCATATATACGAAATATTAAAGATCACTCTCAACTGATCCATTAACTGAAATGCTTGATGGCGATAGCTGACGAGGTGTTAATACTGTAAAATCCCCACGCGCCTTGCTGAAATTCTTTACGATCCTCCAAACCTTGTCAACTCGCAGTCGTAGCCTCTTAACACATTATCCATCTCGATTACGCTTTTTATGCCTCGCCAAAACTCTTAGAGCAATTTCGTCATAGTCAGAAATTGTACCAATCCCCAAATAATAGCAATTGACGATCTGTAAATACAGAACAGATATTCTAAGAAATGCAAGTATGGGAATATGTCAAGAGGAAAAGACTACATTTGAAGACAGCGCTGTGCATAGGACATGGCACATGGATATGCGAGCATTCATAAAATAATTTTAAAATATTTATAAATATTATATTTATAATATAATATAATATAAATATTTATAAAATCATTTAAACTAATTTTTAAGCGAAAATCGAAACTTATAAAAAAATTAGCAAATCATATTTTTTTTTTTTTTAAATCGCTTATAGGGTGGAATTTATAAAATGAAAAAATATTGCAGTAATTAATTTTATTCAAATAAAAAGATATTTATTAGCTGACCAAAATTTTCTAACCAAATATAACGCTCGAAAACCTTCAATCAAAGTAAACAACAGTAAATCATCGAAATGCGTTTTTTTTTACAAACATTCTACGATTATTGCCCTCGTAAAACAACGATTTTCAAGCTAAAAACAGCAAATTCGTTAAAACGCGCAAATTAACATAAGGAAAACGAGGAAAACAAGGTAGTAAAAAAAATAACAGTACACGCAGTCTCAAATTCATGTTCTATATTTAGTTAAAGGCTTATCTGTCCATACACTTATCGCCTCCTTAAAATGATTACAATGATTAAATGATAGATAGGTTCAAGAAATTAATCGGTTTATATTTCTTTATTTCAAATTTTTCATATGGACGACCATCGACTTAGCTAACGGAATGGACGTGATAAGCTAAACAGGAACATGACGAAGCTAGAAGTCGAAACGTCAATAACATTATTTTAAATATTTTTAAAAAATGTTAATAACACTAGAATCTACAATATTCTCCGCCTTTTCATTGTTATGAAGAAACTATGTAAATGAAGAAACGGAACAACCTATCTACTCTTTAAAAAGAACAAGAAAAACATCAACAGCAAAGGAACGAAAAATGAAACAATTACAGACAAATTTTGAATATAATAAAATAACCTTTTAAGATTAATAATAATAAAACAATTTTCAATATAATATTCAAAAAACAACGCATCAAAACAAAAATCAAGATCTTTTCATTGTTTTATGTTGCTTCAAAATGTTTGCTGCACTTGGCTGATCGCCGATGGATGACTACCATAAGAATAAGTTGCAAATGCGAATGGCTGTTGTCCTGTCGGTACATTGTATGCCGTTGAGCCTATAAATTTGCGCTTCTTATTGAGACTATTGGTACGAACACTCGAAAGCTCGAAAAATTCTTTTAAAAATGCAATTTATTTTTTGTTTCAATCAATTTAATAACTTATATCCATATTTACGAAACTCGGAAAATTACCGTAAGGCGTAGCCATGGGATAAAAAGGTTGTTGCGGATAGGGATATGCGGTACCAGCAACTGGTTCAACACGTGCTCGTTTTTCAGATGGTTCCCTAGAAATCATGAATTAAAAAAAAATCGATAAGCAGCGGAATATTCATTTTAAGAATAAAAAATCTAAATAAAATAAAAAACAAAGATTTTTAAACTTTTAAAAAAAACTTTTAAATGGAAGAGGCTAAAATATTGTTGCAAAACTTTAATATGAATGGAATGAAATGACAATGATGATTTTTTTGCCCAAATAATACTAATAAGTTTGACATTATAAAATTCTTGTTCATCTTTGAAAAAAAGCACATATTTGCTTAGACAATCCGCTCAACTTGCATCTTATTGGTTTCTCGGAGCTAATACTATTGTTTCACAAATGAAAATGAAAGTGAAAATCAACAATGAAAGATTTTCCATAAAATAAAAATAATGGCGATTTAAGTCATTATGCCTAAAAATCTTGCAACTAGCATAGCACTGTGAGAATTTTACTAATATGACTTACTCTCCAATTTTGGATTCCAATTTTGCTTTAACGATAGCATTTTTTTCTTCAATAGTTTTCTGCAACCGATCGTGATATTCTATGTGCTCCTGAAGCCTATAAAATGGAAAACTTCTTTTCAAATCGATTTCAAATTATTCGATAAAACATTCACTTCACAGGGCTGAATAATGAGAACTGGACTGCAAGCAATTAACGGAAAATTTCAACTCATTATAAAAAAAAGGAAAGAAAAAAATGATGAAAAGACTAACTCCTGTATGCTATGCCCGAAATCCTCAAGAAAATCGAGTTTTCTTTGAGAAAATCTAAGCTTTTCTTTATCATTCAAATGCCTCGATTCTAAAGCATAATCAATTGCTTCGACAACCGAACTTTCTTTAAATGTTGTAGCTGTATATGCTATGTCGATCAATGCCAAATACAAGCTAGGATTATCCTGAAATAGAATAAATATTAATCCATTAAAAATTTCCCAACAGCTGATGGTAATGTGTCTATAAGCCCTAATGATAATAATTATATCAGAAAATTCACCGCCCATTGAAATCATATATTATAAAATTATATAAAATTATTAGCCAAAGTAAAGTGAAAAAATCAAAGTTGTAAAAATGAAAGGACCAAAGAAAACCTGTCGAAAAATGAAAAAGAATGGTTCTCAAGTATTTTAAATCGCTTTAACTGAATTCCATTTAGAATTAATTCCAAGACTTCATAATATTTCAGATATTTATAATTTAATATATTCGCTATAACTTTAATAAGATGATTTTGATGAGAGGAATGAGGACCAATATTATGCAAAAATTTGCAGTAAATATCAGCGCTAAGAATACCTTATCTCTTGCGATGGCGTCTTTGATAATCTTCGTTGCTAGTTTTCTATCATTCTTTTTTTTAATGTGGAATCGTGCTAATTTAAGAGCATAATATGAAGATAATTTAGTTGAAGTATTTGAGTCATGAATGAGTCGCTCAAAGCGAGAGATGACTGATGAATAATTTGACACACTAAAAATGAAAAGAAAAAATTGCTAAATTGCTTTTCATTCTTTTAATAAAAAAAATCTTATTAAAAAAAAAAAAAAAAAAATAGAAAATTTACTTTTCAGAATTAATTGAAGCCGCACGACGTCGTTCGATTCCAATTCGTCTTAAAGCGATAACAGCGAAACCGGGATTACAACGATCGAATTCCACGAGTATATCACTCGCCTTATCAAAATTACCTAAATCGAGGATGAAAAGAAGATTTTTTTTGCATTAGTTTTAAAATTATTATATGAAACAGCAACAATTTATACGATATAAATTGAAGCATTAATATCTAAAAATTTTTTAAAAAAATTAAAAATAACTTCGAAAACTTGACGAAAAATTTCGTTCTGAACCACCGCATAAATTATATTTTACTGCTAGAGAAATACCACCGCAGAATTTTTATGATGAATTAACGCCTTTCAATACTATAAATCTTTAAAATTCTTAAATTTTTCATCAAACTATTAAAATAGAACAATGTGATTTGGCTAAACAATGATTTATTCGTCGATACATCCATACGTCTTTTGCATCTTTTTATTTCCCAACTTAAATGAAGATAAATAAAAGTCTTCGATTTTTCCTCCGTTTATAATGATTAAAACAGTAGATGTAGTTCTTAGACTTAAGAGTTAATCATTATCATATCATATCAATATCACATCTTCCATATCGTTGGCCTACGAAATTCGAAATCAACCTTTTCTAATTTCAACTTGCATTATAAAAAAAAAATTCGCAAACGAAATCCACATTCCTCTTGAATGGTAATTTGATATTTGGTATGTTTCTTAGTTTAGACTCGGATAACCTCATTTTTCATGTTTAATTCATATAACTTGGATACTCGGAACTGTCCATTCAAGAAAAATGCAATAGGCATAAAAGGTCCTTTAATTTGTGGCCTAAATGGTTAGATTAAGCTTTAGGATATTCCTTCAATCAATATACATCTCACTTATCCATATGCGCTGAGAAATTAGTGAGGATATAGGAGAAGCAAATGAAAGAGCAAATCTGGCCGAAAATACTAGAAAAATGGTTCAAAGTACTTCTCAGCTACCTGACACGACGAAATTACACGCGATTCACACTTAAAAGACACATTCCATTCAGTAAGCAAACCAAAAAATTTGATTTCACTAAATATAGCTAAGGTGAAATACCTTCCCCACTTTCCAATACACATTTTATAACACAATAAAAATAACTCCAGAAAATGCATAATGACGCAAAGAAACATTCAGGATGCCAACAGATCGGAAGCAATAAAATCGGAATTCAAATTCAGCCTTTTGATACGCCCTGACATTATAGATCAACCTGGAATATGCTCCTACTTCTGAACAGGCCTAGCACGAAATAAAAAATTCTCCTCTCTGGATGATATATCCGTAACGAAAGAAAATAGGGTCAAAATCAAATTGAAGCAAATGATCTACTCTAAATACGAACTTCACGACAGAAAAGTAAATATGCTATTGAAAGATGGATATAAACTTCTTAATCCACGATTATTTCGACTAAATGGCTGTACAACTCAGCAGCCAGAAGCTCACCTAACTGCATGAAGAATCTTAATTTCACACAATAACCATAATACACAATACAGAACTCGCATAACCATCACAAAAAGCCATGAGATACTAAAAGAAATGATTAAAGCTGAAAAAAGTGTTAACTCAATTGTGACTCAATTTCGCACCATATTAAAATTCAGTACAACACTAATGGAGAATCGCCATTAATACCCAAGAAAAAAACTTTCTGACAATCGTAAGAGAGAAATTTTTATTACCTTCGAAATTTTTAATATTGGATTATCCAGGTTTCCAACATCTAAATAATAAATGGCCATATTCCATTAGTATTTTCATTTGTTTAATTTAATCTTCAGAACTTAAGAAACGAATAAAAAACCTTATGGGCATTTTTTGAACCAAAATTGGTCACTGCAATAATATAGCTCTTCGAAACAATGAAACTCCGTAGCAACAAATTATAAAACGCTCAGAACTTTGAGGGAGAGCCAAAGGTGCACGAATTTCAGGTTTCATCAATATAGTTTCAGCCCGCTTTAGAAATTCGAAGCAAGAAAAGAAGTCTATATCTAATATTTAAAAAAAAAAACAAGGCACGATATAATTCGAAGATATAATTTAGATGGGCAATAAGGAGCAGACACATGACTACACCGTATCAAATAATCACACACAAATCATTTTCACTGAGAAAATGGTGAAAACTGCATGAAACCATATATAACCTAAATTAATCAACTGACCGCAACACCCTAAGCACTGCCTATATTTTCACGTCACTAAAACAGCAGTTATTTAACTAACTTTACCTTAATCTCGTTTAAAAAAAACTTAAAGATCAAGCAGCCATATTTCGACAGCATTGCAAGCCACATTTTTCTGAACTTAAAGAAAAGATTAAAACCAATTTACCAGACTTTCCTGTTTTCTGACACAGTTTAACTGCCAAATGCGAGGCGCTAAGGCATTTTAACAAAGGCCCAGTGAGAAAATCTGAGTGTTTCATAACTATGCATCTGTTACTACTCAGAATTTCATGGCCGATATAATTTTAAAGAAAAAATTTACATCACATTAAAACTTTTCGAGATTTTGCAGATTATTTCAATAATACCTCAATAATACCAAATTGTTCAATAATTCAATCACGTCAACTTGCTACTTTTGATGTTTTCTGTGTAAAAAAATGATCTGACTTTAAATACTGCTAAAGTATGTGGTGGCAATGAGTGAAAAAGCATTATTTCATCATAATAATTCTTGCAGAAATAATGATAAAAGAAAGAAATGATCACCGCATCGAATATCACAATTGTATTATCATTACCATTTTTCTCTTCAAATGCACTGTAAGCCAAATGCACAATCGGCTGCCGTGGAAGATGAATCTGAGATGAGCGTCGATAAGCATTTCGTGCACCCTCCTCGTCGAAAATTCTTTCCAAATATCTCGCATACTAAAAGATATTTATACTACTACATAATTTTTAAATCACATAAATTTTTCCAGAAATAATGGTGATCGATTGGAAAACTAGCATATTCATTGCATCAATTTCAGAATTAATAAACGATTATGACTGAGCTACCAAATGTTTCAAAATTTTTCCAAATTGCGAAAATAATAACAAAATAACCTTTAACCACATTTCGCTATAAAGAGCACAAGCTATCATACAACGTTCAAATAAAACCAAAATTCGTTCTTTATCTCCTCGTTCTATTTCAAAATCAAGATAAGCATTCCAATTTTTTATTTGAGCATGTTCTAAGGGTTTCACATGGAAATACGGTCGCTTGATCTACAAAATTGCTGCATATTAAAAATGAAAATAATTTTCAATCAGTTTTCAGACGCCACCAATGTTTATTACCACTAATAAAATTTTATTTTACATCAACTTTGAAAAAAACAAACATTATCCTCGAAAGCCCAACGACGGCTAACTTCTTGTTCATTTTTTAGAAACATCATTCGTCGACGCTCGATCATTTCTAATCGCATTCCACGAAGCGCTTCCTCGCAATGCTAAAAAGCTAATTTACTGCTCAAAAATTTCACCTTAGAAATTTTCAGATAATTTGTCCAATTTATTAACATTAACATCTTATTTCATAATCTGTCTTCATTCCAGAAACATTCACGAAGAAAAAGACTATATAAAAAACAATGAAAACCATGAAAAAACAATGAAAACCTTTCGTTTCCGTTTTGTTTTTAAAGTGACTTGTTCTTTTTCACCATTTAATTTGGAGATATCTGATACTTCTTCGTCCGCATCTTCTATTAAATATAATTCTCCAACAACTACGCCCTTAAGCTCATCTTCGACCTAAAAAATTTTCCTACCTAAGGTTTGCAAAACAATAAAATCTAAAGGAAAATGGAACTGCAGCAAAAATTTCGACAACTGCAATTACATGAAGCAAAATAATAAAAATACTCCCTTTTGTGGAGATGAATAAAAAATAATAAAAATACTCCCTTTTGTGGAGCTGAATAACAAAAAGAAAGGAAAAAACCTGACGATAAAGTATTTTTCGATAAAAAATTAAAAGTGCAAAAGAATAAATGACTGGAGGCAAAAATCCGCTGAAGCACCATTCAAAAGCAGAAAAAATATATCGGCTACACTTCATTAAATTAAAATCGTGTGGTTAAACATATGATTTAAAAAAAGCGGCATAAAATTCCCTTCTCTTTCCCTTATTCCCTTAACACTTTTTTACATTGTTTTCATATCCACCAAATCCTCATATATCCTCAAATTTCCGTCATATCCCCGTTCTATCATATTAAAGGCAATACTTCCAGTCTATATCTATTTTTTCTTTGAAGCAGCCTATGAGAATGAGAATGAGTGATGGTTTATGAGTAAACAGAACGGCGGAATCTAGAAGTAGAATAATGGAGATTTGTAGGTGTTAAAAAGAATATAATCTAAGGGATATTGAGGTTTTTAAAAAAATATAGAAAGATTTCTGAGAATATCAAAGCCTCTCAACACATCATATGGCCCCGATTCAGCAATCTGAAGTTATGTGACCGCCTTTCTTTTCAAGTACGTCGATTTATTACACAAATATTAATGCAGCTATTCAAAGCATGTATAGTTAGAAAAATGGAAAAAACCTTTTTAAAAATTTCGTTATATTCTTCCTCAGATAAAAGAACATCAGGCTCATGACTTCTAACAAGTGTCTGGTACCTGAAAAAAAATTCAGGATTTGAAAGAGATACAGAAAAAGAAACCCTCGTTTTCGAATAGTTAGGTTAATTTAATCACAATAGCGAATAGATAAGCTAATATAATTTAATAAACTTCCTTATTGCTAAAAAAGCTTTGAAAATATCGGGATATTAAATTTTTATGGTGGCAAAGCTGGCTGTTAGTACGAGTAAAAATTTAATATAGAATCACTAGGCGACAGAAGTATAAGGTCACAAACTCATTTTCTGAGGACAGGCTACCTACTGGGGCCGAAGACAAACTCTTGCCTTTCATCAAAACATGACAAAAAAATTATTCAACCTTTCCACTACTTACCACCTCCCCCCTCCCCCCTCCCACCTCCCTTATTTACCACATTTAAAAAATTATAGTGCAAATATCAATCACAATATATACGACAGAAAAATATCTCCAAATCAAATATTTACACTGAAAAACCACTAAAAAATTTTCGGACAACCAACCTTTCAAAATGCAAATTATATTGAAGCGTTGGAGTGGATAAAATTCGATCAAAAAGCACAGCCGCGCGAACGGTTTCACCGTTTTTCAATTCCCATGCAATATATTCTTCCCACAGTTTATCAGATCGAAACTCCAAGCCACACACTTCTACAGCACGGTCGAATATTCTAGAAAAAATGAATTAAAACTTATATAGACTTAAGTTTCGAATCAAATAATGCAAATAATATGAGCCATATCATAACTATGTCATTTAACACCATAATTATTATTTTTATATTTAATTTTTGTTACCTATCTACTAAGATAAAATCAACATAAAATATGTGAAGTGGAGAAGTGGAAGTTCATACATAAAAACTATTGACGATTTTAGACCCAACTGTAATGAAAAAGGAGATATCTTCCCAACTGGTAAAATCTATTGATCGTGATGAAAAAAACAATGATCCAGCAAAACTAAAGAAATCTTCTAAACTGTGAATAGAAAATACATAAAGATATTGAAAAGGAAATTGCGTGGCAGCAGGGTGCTGCCGGGGGACTTTGGCTCACGAGTTGCGGCCTGCATTAGGCATAAAGACGAAAAGCTATGAGATAAATAAGCTTAAGTAAGATAATATATAATAGCCTATAATAGCCTATAAAGTACTGGGAAAAAAGTGAATCTCAAAAAAAGCAATGACAATTCAACTTTATTAGGGAAAGTTTTATATTCAAAAAATCCCATTAGCATATGCTCTGCAAATAAAGATAATCAATGCCTACAACTTAACCGGGATAGCACAAAACTTGCTGAAGAATGGCGAACCTATCATTCACTATTCAAGCTACCGATTTCGCTGGTCAAAAACCTAATTTCATCTATGGCACTCATATCAGATAAACCATGCTGATCATATAGGCCAAATCAGTTGCACAAAAAATATCACCGAAAAAAGTGCAATAAAAATATAATAAAAACGAAGTTGCCCTAAGCATTTTTGATGAGGTTTAATAAAGTACAAAGCCGAGATATCTTAGGTATATCACTGAAATTAGAAAAAGTGTATTTGGTAAGTTTATCTCAGATAAAAAAATCATACTAAGATGGAAAATGTCAATTAGTGCAAAGGAAGGGTTTTACTTGAGATGAAAAAAGAAAGTGCTTATGGATGAATTTTTTAAAGCTAATTAAGAGATATATTTAATATATAGTGAATTCAAATTAACAATTTTGATTTTACCGATGAATAATTTCAAACAGATGACGGCTGCTTTTAAACATGCATTTAACGTTGGTATCTTCAAGATGTTCACGAAGAACTCGAAATTTTCTAATCATACATTGGTTACTCTAATCCACCTCGTATAAGTAGCTATTCCTTGATTTATTAATTGATGGAAATCTTAATTCCGATATATGTAATAGGAATATTTTTAAGAATTCTTTACAGTCTTAAATTCCATACTTAGAATCTTCGTAAATGAGCCACTAAGTTTTCTTAACCAATATGTATGTAAAATATTTATTCGTCCACTTTTGGATACAATACAGTGTTTGCTTCTTACGCCGTCTAAATCCTGGACCCCCAATTAATTTTAAATTTACAAAATCTCGATTCACTCAGGATCAGAAAAATTAATAAATAGGTCTGAATATCATTTAAAAATTCTATTTACGATCTATGCTTGCACTGCTACCACAGGACTGCAGCTACATAAATGAATCTGAGATGATGCTGCCCCATTATTTTTAACAAAAGAATTAATTATTGAATGAAGTTATCAAATAATAATGTTTTGATTAAAAACCCATTAGTATAACTAAATTGAAATAAATTACTAAAATTAATGAGCAAACAACATGCGACGTCCTAATTTTCAAAAAAATTTAAACAAAAATTTTCTTGAAATTATTTAGTTGTTTTATCTTATACATTAAAGTTTTGGCCTTTTCATGATTACCTCAAGGATAAGGTTCAGCTTGGTAGGCTTTTAAATAAAAATAAAATAACGGATTAAAAATATCTAATTTTTACGCTCGAGTTTTTTCGATAGATGTTGGAGTTTGTTGGTGAATAACTTCCACCGTAAACGATAAATAATGCAGCCACAAATCGACGCTCAATGGTATGGCAGCTAATCCTCGTTCATATACCTATACTGAACTTAATGATCAAAAATCCAACAATAATCGTTAAATGAGCAACAACTTTTTAAAAAAACAAATCAACTGAATTTAACTGAACCTTTTCATTATACAGTGCAACAATGGCATCAACAAAACACCATGGGAAAAAAATTATTCTTCAAGAAACTGAAAAGAATATTTGAAAATAGTAACTAACCTCAATACATCTATCAATATGCTTATGTCGACGTTCGAATTCTGCATATTTTCGCCAATACCCGTAACAGTAGGGATAGCGCTTTAAAAATTCATCATAAGCCTCGCGTGCTGTTTTCGTCTTATCCTGAACAATGAAAAATGAAAATATTAACACAAATCCCTTGCATAAAATTGTAATAAACCTGCTGAAACAGTAGCACAAGAAACTATAAGAAAAAAATTATTGAAAATACAAATTTCAATTCTAGATTAAAATATATTTATTGTGTTTTAAAATATTGCAAAATTTCGAAATAACTAAATCTTCAATAATTAATGATAAATATAAATAGGCATCAGAAAATTTCAAATTTATAAGTTCAAAATTATAACGCTGTCACTTATTCACTGTCATCATTTTAAAAAAATATTATTTAATATTGACTCAACTTTATTTGCTAAATATATATTCAAATTAGAAAAATATTTACCAGTTGTTCTACGTACGACAATAACTGAGTCCAAGCATCAAAATTCCCATAATCTTCTTTGATCACCTTCCAGCACATCTTAATCGCATCCGGATCACGATCATTCGAAGAACTGCGACTGTAAACATCTCTGATTAATTTATTCCTGTTAAAATATTAGCAACAAACCTTCGATGCCTCTCGTAACGCCTTTCATGAAAGCTTCTGTTATCGCCATGCTTGCTACAACTTCTTCGATCTCGATCATGACTACGACTTTTACGATCACCATCGCGACTGCAGCTTCTATATTCACAACTTCGCCGATCACGATCGTGACTTCTTCGATCATATTCACGACTATGACTGCGATTCCTTCTTCTACTGCTTTCACTGCTTCGACTCCGGCTGCGGCTCCGACTACGACTTTCGCTTTCGCTATGATTATTGTGACCCATTCTAAAAATTTTAATTTAATAATAATTAAGAAGCACCAATTCAACACATATAATTTCGCACGCAATCAATTGAATAATTAAGAAAAAAAAACATAAATAATAGAAAAAAACACGAATAACAAAAAATGATAAATTTAAAAAATCGGCGACTTCAATTCACATTGTTTAGATCTTTTTTTCTATGAAAAAAATCATAAAAATAAATTTTTCCACTTCCAATATTTTAAGTTCAACTAAATTTTTTTGTAAACCAGCACGTTGCTTCAACCATATTTACACTACATAAATCACTGCAAATTGCTCCACTGAAATGGAGTACTGTGGGTAAGAAAATAATAAAGAAGAGACGCATTATTAAACCTTAAAATGCTTAAAAGTGCAAAGAAGATATGCATTTCAGAGATATTCATAAAGCAATTTGTTTTCTAATGGCCAAATTGCTTTCATATATTAAAATAATCCAAATTTAATTTAATTTGCATTATAAAATGAAATATCGATTAAAATTTCGGTTAAAAAAAGAACGAATAAAATAAAACGATTTGAAGCAAATGAAAATAAATAAGCAAATCCTTTAGCAAATCCTTTAGTAGAAAATTTCATAGATTAATTTGTATTTCGCAATTAAATCATCATAAAAAAATTATATGAGAGAATATAACCAGTAAATGCGAGAATGGCTGTTAATTGGAGTAGTGGTTCAGCGAGCAGCCAAAAATCTGCACGATGCTGGCGACTCGTCTCCGCTTCAATCCCTCGCCAAATGGCTTCCTGGAAAAACTTGCCTCCGACATAATAGCTATGTGAGTGGCCAATAAATGATTCAACGGTACAATTTTAAAAAATCACAATACAAAACTCATACAGAAACGTCAAAAATACAAAACAATTATTAATTCATAACAGAAAAACTCTAATAAGAATGGATGGAAAACATGTTCAAGTAAAATTCAAATCAACATAGTTCGTCCCCGCAATTAAAGTTCGTCACAAACGACTTCCTTAACGGAAAATCTAATTTGATGAAGCGGAATTAATCAAATTGGATTAAAATAAAAGGTGAAATAGAAATTTGATAACATCGTTTAAATATCACATAAATCGGAAATCAGGTAACTTAAATTTATATTAAAAACTAAATTACAATGTTTTCATTAGGAATAAAAATGTTAAATGTTAAAATTGATAGCACTTTCTTTGAACAGCTCGCATCGTTGCTTGCTTGGTTGGCTCTTAGGAAAGACATTTCCAAGTGCCAATCCGAAGCTACACGACTGGACAAGCACCACCGTCTAATGTTACAATGAAGGGCCGCCAATGTCCTCAAAATCACCCTCGAGGACCTTAGCCCGAGAAGTAAATAGTTCGCACTTTCAACGCCATCTATCATAGGGCTTAGCAAGCGGCGATATCCGTTAATCTCTGTGACAGGCGACGGACCTAACCATGTAAGAGAAGGTATTGGAGCAAATGTAAGCCATGTAAGATGCAAGTCTTCTGTCCAGTTGACGGGCACTTTAGCCAGCATGTGCCTTAGCAAAGGATGATAACCCATATCTTCCACTCTTACTGACCATGTTTCGCATGCTTATAGTAGAATTCGGCATGCATACTACAGCCAGATAGGTGCGAACGTTCGTTTTGACACCGATTTTGCAGCGATTCTAAATAGCTATTTTGCCAGATGAAAAAAAGAACCTTTGGTTGCAGCTATTCGAGTTTCACCTTCTGTCTTTTTCATTCGCTTGGCTATCAGGCGTGAAAGTGAATCCAAGATTAATCCAAGTGACACTTTTTGAAGCACAGAAATTGCAATCGGGGACCGAAATATGAGAAGAAAAGTGTTTCGTCTTATTTACACTCATTTTAAGGCCAATTTTCTGTTGCTGCCTTTTGCGCGCGGTTACAATTCCTCGTAATTATAAGCGAAAAGGATAGCATCACTTACATATTGCAGGTCTCCAGTACCATAGTCTGGACTGGTCTGTACACCTCTCGGTATTCACTTTCCAATTTACCGCATAGCTTGCATAGGAAAGGATGCAACTTTGACGCATAACGGATTGTACTTTCAAAAGGCTGTGTCAGTTCCCCATGTACACATCTGAGCAGACGTATATATACCGATAAAATACTTAAATAAGTCCGACATAAATCAAATAACAAAGACCAAGCAAGGGTATTTAAATTAAATGGAGATAATGATAACCCTGCAATCGCAAAGAAAATTCACTTTAATATAAAATCAATTTTAATAAAAATTTTTATTTGAAGCGGAAAAAGGCGATATTTCATATTAAATTTTCTTTAATTTTTCATGAACTATTGACAGACAATCGAATAAAACGTCGAAGAGAAAGCTCGATCCGTATGCCTCGAAGGGCAATCAAAAGTGAAGCCTGGTGTTGGGGAGCCCGACAGTTCCACTGCCAAGTGATCGCCACACTCTTAACAGTTAGTGGAACTAGCCGAAGCGAATGTTGAGTAGACTACCAGATGATGAATTACTTAGCACAGTAGTACTTTAGATAGAAACTTCAACACAAGATTATTTAATAAAGTCAGTCAAGTTGCCCAAAAAAAATTGCGCGAAAATTATGAAAAAAGTGGAATACGGCCGAGAATTCGCTTAAATCGATTAAAGAGATGGTGAAAATTATTTTATCTCCTTTGTTTGGATGTTTTTAGTAGTAAAAGTAATATGATATTCATTTGTAGGGTGGGGGGGGGGTGGCAGGGGTGGGGGGTAGGCGAGTGGAGAAATAATGATTAAAGGTTTTCGTATGAAGAGGCGCGCCGACGATAGGAGCAAACTTATTATCGAAAAATCGAACTGATGCTGGTGATCCTCATGTATTTCTTATCGTTAAATGAACCCCTGGCAAAGAGTTTCTTATCATTTCCTAAAAGTTAGTTTAACCAAAAATGGTGAACGCTAACTATTTGCATATAATTTCTCTGGGAAAGCTGTGGCTCAATAATTTTCTTGGTACTTTCTTTTTAATGTAACAAGTTGTGGACAGCGCTTTTTAAGCTAAAATTCATTTCAATATCACCTTTGGTGTGAGAATTTTCCACAGCGAATATTATCTCTTATTTGATCATTTTCTTTAATCAGTCAATTATCTGCTTTCACTTAAAAAAAAAAAGATGCATTAGCCGCAGATATTATAAAAGTAATTGAGTAGTGAAAGTTAATTAGCCATTTTTGGTTAGGAAAGTTCCACTGACTGTTAGTACAGTTAGAAATTTTTGCTAGAGGATAACATGGCGGTAGAAATACAGGCAGGTAGTTCGCAGGCAAATTTTTTAATGATATATTAATGATACTTCTTTTGAGAATTAGGAGCCCTATTCATTCCTCTCAACATCTGAATCACAAACTTCCCAGCTGTTTTGCCTCCATGTTGTAATTTGAACTTGCGTATAATGGTCAGTACTTTCTGCCAAATTTGACCAAAGGGTCTCTCTTTGGAACAGGAATGGATCCACATTAATCATCCATGATTTCGCTTTTGATGACTTTGATGATTTTTTTAATATCAGCCAAGGCAGTGTACAAGTTATTCACCAGTGTATTGCCCTTCATTTCTTTATTAACTCATCGTTTTATTTTTTTATTAAATTCGATTTTATTAAGTGATTATTATATTATTCAACGTTTTATGATCGAATAGTATTAGAAAAAACAGTTTAGAAATGGCTGAAAATGAAATAAAAGCACGAAAGAAATTAGAAGAAGCTGAAAAGAAGACAAAAGGTGCAAGTGGCTTTTTAAGCAATTTATTTGGCGGAAGTAAGAACGATGAGGCAGCCGATTTATTTGTCCAGGTTTGTTTTAAATTTTACTTTATTCAACGACATATTGAACTAAATTTAAATGTTCCTTTTTTATTGTGATGGGTTTGAAAAGTTTTTTTGGTAAATGCAAAGTATTCCATAGTGCTCGACAAAAACAAACTTTTTCTAGTCAAGTTTGTCGGATTAGATTTTGCCAAGAAGACAGAAACTCAGGTAAGTCGCCAGCAGCACCTGAGTTTTTTGGAAGCCAGGTCTACACGTGCAGGGAGTAGAACCCTAGCAGTGGAATTTTGAAAGAGGGCAATAACTCATTGAGCCATTATACTTCCAAGGTTGTAATATGGTTATGTTGCTCATTCTCATTTTATATGGGATAATAGAAGCACTTTAGATCAGTAATGAAATGTCGTAGTGGAAAATATAGTTATGAAAATATAGTTATGAGATATGCATTATTTTTAAGATCTTTTTTTCATGAATTCTCGTTGAATTCATTTTTAACAGATGCTTTTTTATTTTTATATCTACATAGTTTCATTTTGGTTTCTCAAATTTCATTTTATTTCTTTTTTACCCTTAAATATTATTATTTTTAATAGTATCAGTATTGCTAGCGTCATTTCAGTTTTATAATTTTAACATTCTATTCTAATTTTTCCACATAACATTTTTCTATTTAAAAATTAATGTTGTGGTACATTGTTTAAATGTAGTTAAAGTTATGAGACATATTGTGAAATATTTCGTTTTGTCTTCTGTTGGCTGAAAGATCTCTGCTTATTTAAAAATTTAGTAGTTTAGGATGAAGCATCGAAGTTAGATGAATTGTGCTGCATGGAGGATGGATGTTTTGCATGTTTTGACGACATCGCATCATATGAAAATCATTATGAGGAATTTCATCGTCATAAATGTTCAATATGTGGTCGTGTTTTTGTCAATAGCTATTGTCATCATCTGCATTTGGAAGAAAGTCATAGTGCGATTTTTAAATTGTTGCGGCAAAGATTTCCTATGAAGCCGCTATACAAATGTTTTGAAGAGAGTTGCCCAGAAATATTCGTGTTGGATGTTGAACGAGATAGACACGTTTTGGAAGTTCATAATATCCGTGAATCAGTAGTTGTTGATGTAAAAAGGAAAAAAGTGAAGCGACAACAGATTTGCAACCAGAGAGGATTAAATGACATTGAAATAGCTTATCAAAAAGTTGGTGCCAGAGAGAAGATTATTAATGGAAAAAAGAAATTAATTCCACGAAGTATAATCTTTGGATGTGATGAACATGAACCAATGTTTGAAAATGTTCGCCGTCTTTCATCACTTTCGCTTCGAACAACAAGTGAAAATTAATCAATTTTTTTAAAAGCTGTTTAGTCGTTAATTTTAGTTCGGCGATAGACGAAACTTTCTTGAATTTCATTTATTGTCATGACTGATAACAGTAGTTGCATCTGTTTTTAAATTTTTGATATCGAAATAAAAATTTCTGTAAATCGTGATCATTCTTTCAAACTTTAATTGGCAAAAGACTGGTATCATTTACTTTTACTTTATTCATTTCTTTTGTTCTTTTGCTCGAAATTCTTCTTGTTTAAACATTATTAATTTATTGAAAATTAAATTGGTTGTTGATAAAAACAAATCGGTTTAATCCCGCGAAATTAATCGGTTGTTTACTTATTTTACATTGATAAACTGCTTCTTTGTAACCATAAAATGTAAAATGCATTTTAGGCTGGTAATCTTTTCAAAATAGCGAAATTATGGAAAGAAGCTGGAGATGCGTTTATACGATCGGCCGAAATACATGCCGCTAGCGGAGATAGAAAACATGACATAGCATCTGGTTACGCTGAAGCAGCAAATTGTTATCGCAAAATAAATGCTGAAGTAATTTTTTAATATTTTTTTTGCCTATAATAGCGCTGTGAATTTTAAATATTTTACACGTTATTTTATGATCATTTCATGTTTATTCCTTTTTGTAAGTCGGATGCCTTCCTACTTTTTAATGAAAAAATTTAGCTAGTTATTGAAAATTTCAGTTGGCAGTGGACTGCTTAATGAAGACAGCTGAAATATATACGGATATGGGTCGTTTTACAATGGCGGCAAAAAATCATTGTGTCATAGCAGAGCTATATGAAAAAGATAATCCTGACTTAAATCAGAGCATGTTGCATTATCAGGTGAAGCTAGCTTTTAAGTTTTCCGTGTAATGATTTTCTATATTCCATGGTTTTTTTTAAAATTCCGTACGCATGTTTTGGTCAATATTCGATTTTAGAAAGCAGCTGATTATTATAAAGGAGAAGAAAACCGAAGTTCGGCAACGAAATGTCTAATCAAAGTTGCCCAGGTTCATTTTAATTTTTTCTGTTGAGATTTATTTTATTATTATTTTATTATGATGACAGTTAAAATTCTGATTTGATGACTGTATTAATTAATTGTAGGATGGAAAGATTAAAAGCAGTGTGATATTTTTTCATTTATATCATTAGGCAAATCATTATTTTGCTAATTAGACCAAAATTTAAAAAATTTAAAAATAGCATATTTTGACATATATATGATAATCTTAACATTTGAGAACAAGTAAATATATTTCAGATCGCTGCTGAATTAGAACAGTATCGTAAAGCGATACAGGTTTTTGAAGAGATTGCTATTTGGGAGGCTGATCATCCGACACTTAAATACGGGGCGAAAACTCATTTCTTTCAGGCGTTACTGTGTTATCTATGCGTTGATGTTGTTAGTATTCCACTCATTGGCTATCTAATAAATCTTTTTGGTACCAGTTTTTATTTGTAGGCTGTAGCGTTATTTTTAGCATTTTGGTAAGAATTTTAAATACTGATGTGCTCCATTGTTTTAGGTTAAAAGTTTTTAAAGATTTTAGTAATGTACATCAATCTTTTAGCTGGATGCGCAGCATGCTTTGAAGCGGTATGAAGAAATTTCACCATCATTTTCAGATACTCGAGAATGTAAGCTGATTCGGTAAGTTTGGGAAATTTAAATTTGAATTTTTAGACTTTTTCTTCACCGTTTTCTCCGAGCAAGTGATAGGCCAGCTTTTCTTGTATCTTTTGATTTGTGGTTTCATTTATGCCATCTCATAATTTTAGCTTTGAGGATTTTCAGGGATTTAATTCTATGCTTGGAAGAACAAAATCAGGATCAGCTGACTGATGCAGTAAAAGCTTATGATAAAATAACACGTCTTGATCAGTGGCATACAACTTTGCTGGTCAAAATTAAACGTTTATGTGGTGGAGGCGAAGATGATCTTAAATAAATTATAAAACTTTCAGATATATATTATAAGAATTATTTTTCTTTGTCGTGAGTTTCTAGAAGTCGTCAAGGAAAGTTTTCCTGAGATTTTATAGATATTAACCATTGCTTTACTTTCAAATAAGGAGAAATTGGATCATAGAAAAGCTTACTTTGCTTTTAATTTATTAATTTAGACTGCGTTGTTTTTGTGTTTTACCTTATTTTATATTTATATTCACTTTATTACTTATTTTTTCCCATATTTAAATTTCTTATGTTATATATTTTATTTTAAAAATTGAATTTCAAATATATGGTCATTATCTTGCAACTTTCAGATTTTATTTTGGATCATTATGGTCATTTTGGTATTGAAGTCCTAGCTCTTTCCTTATTCTGTTGTTGATTGTTTGGTAGTGGAATTCAATAATACGTCATATTTGGGTGTAAGATTATGATTCTAAGTGGGTCCATTTAATAGTGTTGGTTTTTTTCCTCGAGCCATCTTTTATTTTGTCTAATATTGATGCATGATTATATGTTTTTTCTCATTCCCTCATTCCCACATTATATTTCACATTGTACATGAATTATTTTTTAGAATAAATTTGCAAGTTTTATCTGTTAGTGTTTTAAAAGTTCCTTACAGTTATCTTTATTTATTTATTTTTTTAGTTCATTTACTTAGAAGATGTTAAGATTGTACTTATACGATTTCATAGAATTTTTGCTGTCTGATGTCAAGATTCGTGGAAAATATGAAATGTGAAATAATGAGAATGAGAATTTGCCGAAAGTTTCTCTTTACGATATTGTTTTTGCTTTTTCAATCAGTGACAAATCTAATTGAAATTTTTATTTTATAGACGATTTCATCCAAACTGAAATGCGGGAAGACATATGTGAAGTAACTAAGTCGAATAATGAAGTTGCTGATCTCGAATGGTGGAAAATGAGTTACGAAAAGTATATTTAACTTAATTGTTTAATTAATTAAAAATTAATTATTATTAATAATTAATTTAAAAAGTTTGATGAATTTGGTAATGTGGTCTGCGGATCCCTTAGGATCCCAAGATTTCAGTAAGCCCGGAAGATCTAAGTTGTTGTACTGAGAGTCGGTTGCTAGGATACTATTGCTTTCTTTTTATTAAGCCAGTCTTCAAAGTGATTTACAAAAATTCGGTTAAAAAAGTACCACATTTCCCACAAAGTTTTTCTTGATAGCTTATTTTTTAAAGAATTATGTTGTTTTCGTCAACAAAGAGTGATTTTAATCATTATTTTAAATGATTTGATAAATCAAAACGGTTTTTCAAAGTCTATTACATAGGTGTAGTTCGCTCGATCTTGCTGTATGGCTGTGAGACATGGTCAGTGGAGTGGAGCATATTAAGCTGCTATCTTACTTTGACCACTCGTGCCTGAGGTATATATCTTACACGAGAGGATAAAATCGCACATTTGCTAGGGCATATTCTTCCCCCACCACAGGAGTTGTCCATATTTTTCCAAGTCCATATTTCGTTATTTGCTAAATCCTGTGATGGATGGCGTCAAAAGCAAAGTGGATCAATCTGGATTTATAAAGTAAAGAAAAATTTTGAATATATAGGTGGATCAATGATATATGGACTTAAACGATGGAAAAAGGAATGGCTTTTATTACTACCGACTGTGCCGTCGCGCAGGTTGGAAGCGTCTTACCCTTGTGACTAGCAAGCTAATCTAACTAGTAACGGTGAGAGCTGTTAGAAGAACGAGAAATACAGTGCAACTAAATACAAATAAATATTGGTAGTTCTAAATGTGTATATAAACAAAAGCAATTTATCGGATCTCCATTTCTAAGGGTTTTTAAGGATTTTTTGAGGAAAAAGATAAGGGTTTAAAGGAAACTTTGAAGCAGAAATAATGAGAAACATTAGATCGTTTGGGAGACTTTAATTTGCTCTAGGAAAAAGATTCTTCCAAAAAATGTTCGCAGTGATGTTTTGTTTCGTCTGACCTTTGTCTAATTACCTGTTTCTTTATTGAGCAGTAAATTTATTTTTTACTGAAATGCTTATAAAATTATATCTCTTGTAATGCCTTTGCTCTTACAGCTCTTACAGGTTTCCATTGATAAACCCGATGTTCAAATTCTTTTTATTTTTTGACTTTTCAGAGTTTTCCCGGAGAAAAAAGTTTTCTTTCATTTAATTATTGAAAATTTTAGAAAAGTTTATTATTAAAGGTTGAAGGAACAATACGCAATTTTAAAAACAAGAAATGAAGAACTAGAAGAAAGAATTCTGAATGTCGTTGAAAAGGTTGAAAGTGATAAGCTAACTCTCTCCGATGAAATCGATCATTTAATAACGTTGGTACCATTTTTTGCTTTCATAATTCGAAAGTCGAATCTTTGAATGAATATTGTACTTCACTGCGATATATTTATTTACATTTCTTTTTGACCTACGCTATGTTTTCACATTTTCAGTGCGTTTTTTTTAATTAACTGTTTCTTAAAAGTTATTTCTGAATGAACCCAGTATTATTTATATATTATTTTAAAAAAATTTTTTTTTAAGAGTCCTCACCATTACTGGTTAAACTCGCTCCGCTGGCTTGTCACATGGACAAATATGCCAGGGATTACGACTATACCACGTTGAAAACACGACATCCCGTCTGATTATTAAAATTATTATTTATTTATTCATTTCAGGAGGATATCTTCAGCGAATAGCAAAATTTTAATGCTTGAAAGTGAATGCGTAAGTTATATATATACGACGTCCAATAAATATACATTTTGCCAGTTTGTTTTTAAACTTTATTCCATATCGCGATTAAGTGGTTCGAAAGGAAAAATTCTCTCCCTTAAACTCTTGTTGCTCGATCGAGTTGTTTTGAAAACAAATCTAGCCAAATAATAAGTGAAAAGATAGTGAAAAACTTATCATAAAACTTTCAGATTATGAACTTTGGTTGAAAAAAATTAGTTGGTGGAATAATTGTTTTAAAGTTTTTTTTCAAGGCTCGTTATAAAAGAGATTGCATTCTTGCCGTTCATTTGCTGCATTGTCAGCCGTCGCATTACATTGCGAAGGAAAAAGCTCCAGAAGGATTATTTAGTGATGATTCAAATGAAGCGATGGTTAGGTTTATTTTTCTGTTTTTTACTGAGGATTTTTAATTTAACTTCTACTTTCTTTCAGCTTGTGCTGACTTAAATATATTTTTTAAATGTAATTTTTGCAAGTTTAAATGTATTTTTTTAGATTTCTAATGCACATTTTAAATTTTTTGGGGATGATTGTCTTTAAATTTTTAAATTTCTTTTCTTCATTATTGATAGAATCATTTCAAGTTTCAAAGTTGATCTTCCCACTTTTTATGTTAAAAAAGGTGCAAAATGCAATGATGAATCCTATTTTTAGAAGGTTGTTAGTAGAGTAGCAACATTTCCGCCAATGGCAATCTTTTTACCAGATAATATAGATGGCCAACCCGAAGATCCATCACCATCTGCTTGCAGCCTTGGGCCTGAATTTCATGTAATTTTTCAAAAATTTTTTATAAATATCTTTAAGCCAACATCTATATTAGTTGATATGCATTTCTTTCGAAATTGTTATAAATTTAGATTTAATTTAAATTTAACTTTATAAATTTATTTAACAAAAAAATTTTTAGGGAAAACTGAAAACTTCCGCTAGTTTTTCATCAAATTTTGTGGATCAAATAAATGCGAATGAGGATTACAGGTGAAAATAAATTAAGGAAAGGAAATATTTTGTCAAATTCAAAATCTTTTCGTTCCACAGCTTTTATATTTTTTTTATTCAGAATGAAAAAAATCAAATATTCTTTGTTTGAACTGTTTCATTTTGCTTTTTTATTAAATATATCATTTTTATAATTCAGCTGTGTTGAAGTTCGTCGCTGCGCGAAATGTACGGAAATCGTGACACAAATGTCGCGCGAAACTCAAACTTCTTGTCCATTACCACCACGTCCTGTAATTATTGATATTCCAGCATGGTCAACATCCGCAAGCCATGAAAATATCTAATTTCTCAATTTTTTACTTTTTCCTTCGTCATTTGGTTGTATTAAATGCCTTCAGATCAACTTTCAGATTTGCATTATTTTCATATGCTCATATTTTCATTTTTGTGCAGTTTTTCGTGTTTGTCCTTATGGTACTTGGATCCAGTGGTACTCGTTTTTTTCACATTATGTTGTGAAAATATGTGCATTCACTTCCTAAAAAAAGTCATACTGTCTTCTTATTTTTATGAAGTCAAAATGGTATTATTATAATATTTATTAATCATCCATTGAATTCCATTGAATAACATTATTTTATATGAATATTAATCCACCCTGTGATTTATTTTTCAAATCTTATCTATTAAATTTAACTTATAGTTGTGGTACCAAGGAATGTTCTATAAATGTTTATGAAACGAGACGTTATTGAAGATTTTTGAAGTAAAATATTCGCCAATTCTAGGAGTAGAAAGGATACAAGAAGCCACGTATCAATTATCTGCACCTGTTTAATTTGTTAGGAGTCTTTGTTTGAGAATATTGCTTCCACAGAAACGAATATAATAACAAAAAAATAGCTGACGGCTTCATAAATGGGTAGCGTAGAAGTGAAATTGACCGGAAAGTGACCGAAAATCGAACTGAGGAAAACTGGTTGTTGCTGGCGCCTAAGAAATCTTCGGTTGAGTGAAGTGCTATTATAATAAAAGAATGTATGAAAAAAGACCAGCATATGTTAGATGTATGCACCAAGCGACTTAGCAGTTACGCAATGAAGATGCAAGGTTTACCATTCCTAATGATGGATTTTGGAGGATGAAACTTCACTGAAAATTTTTATCTCCGTAGATGAGAAAGACTCTCACTCGCGTATGATAATTTTGCCGAGAATCAAGAGATCAATTTAAATAAAATCGAATTCAGAAAATTAGTATATCAAGAGGAGTAGATTCCATAATCTAATGAATAGTCAAACTTGTTCAGCATGGAAGGTTTTATCTTTTCTCTAATAATTTTATTTTAGGTGTATAGTCGCTGGAACTACAACCTTTCTTAGCTAAATTATTAATGAGGCTTAAAGGATGAAGCACAATGAAACTTAAACTAATGAAGGCTTATAGAAAATGATGAAAGAAATATGTACGGATTTTGGGGAAAATACTAATAATTTGGTGGCATAAAATTTAAGATAGAGGATATTTACGAATGGAGGATAATGGTCGAAGACATAAAAACAACTGAAATATTATGGCGAAATCGGACTTCGAACTGCTGAAAGGATCCTAAACTGAGATAAAGCTGATGAGTTTTTTCCCACATACAAATGCAAATACAAAGCAGATTAAATAAAAATACACAACAACAAAGCAGATTAAATAAAAATAAGTTTTATTCAAAAAATAATGAGACAATACTTTATCCAAATTAATTTTAAAAAATAAAGGAGGGATTTGTGCCAGCAAAAACGGATTTATCGCCTCTTCACTTATGTCAATTTTCTGGATAATTCTATTCATTTTCGAAACCAAATACTATTAGAATGCTCCAGGTGAGCACGAAGAAAGAAAATTTTTCGGAGCAATTTGTTCCAGTAAATAACACTTGGAATAAAAAATTTGTGAGACATGTGGTTTTACAAATTGGTTTTAGCATCTTTACATGTTATTCGAATTTAAACAGATTCCATGGAACTACCATTTAAATCAGCAGAATTAATATTCAAGCATAAATCAGCTTATTTAATCCTTAATCAATCCATGTTCTACATTTTGTTTCATACTTTAACTACTAATACTAATTTTTTTTTTAAGAGTCCTCACCATTACTGGTTAAACTCGCTCCACTGGCTTGTAACATTGAGCAATATGCCAGGGAGTCCTTTGACGTTAGAAATACAGGTGAGTCGCCAGCAACACCTGAATTTTTGTATAAGTCCACTCTTGCGGGGAATCGAACCTCAGCATCGGCGCTCCCAATTGAGCAACCACCCACTGAGCCATTCTATTCCCAAACGCCTATAGCAGTACGCAAATTTAAATGACACAAAAAAATACCCTCAATTAATTTAACCGATTTAAGGAATTTTGAAAAGCAATAAACAATAACTGTTTTAGGTGAAAAAAGGATTATTTTTAGACACTCTGAGCAATAATAATCTTAAATTATCAAAAATTTAAAATTTAATGAGAATGTGCAGATTAAAATTGAATTCCATCACCAACACCTCAAACGTTATTGAAACATAACTCTGGTAAAATCAGCGAAAACCAGAGATGAAAGATTTTTAAAATCAGATGTAAAAAGATTTTTTTCTAACATTTCACCATCTAACCATGAGATTGATCTGTAAAGCAGACGAATTATTCAATCTCCCATGCGCATAACAAACTTTAGTCACCACAGTACAACGATATATATTAGAACACTATGAATAATATCAATAACAACGTTGTTAATAAACATATTAAATAATAAATGACCAGTATAATAACCACCTTGCGGCACTAATTTAATGGGTGAGAACAGAAAATTACTGAAATAACAATTATTTAATTAGAAATTCTATAAAAGGAATTCCAAATACTCAAGTTATTGATAGTTTCTTATACAAAAAGCAAAAGCCTTAGCTGATTCAGGATCGAGAATAAATATCAACTGACCCGATTATTTGCTGCAAGGAAGCTGTACAGTTTATTGCGTATGAATCCCTCTAATACTCATCTACTTACATATGTAAAATTAAGATGGATGATAGTTGGAGGGAATACATCTATCATCGTTCTTAAAAACAGAATGGAAACAAAATAATTTCAAAATTCCAAGTCGAATTTAAAATATCTTTGTAGACTAAAAATAAAGATACTGACAGATATTTCTTAAAATAAGAATTGTGCGATATTTACATTTTTAGGTTCAATACACAGTGATGATTTAAGCCCAGCTAAAACATCACAAATGAGATAATAAGATAATGTAAATATCATTCAGAAAGGTAGAACTATCAGATGGACTATATTAATGGTACTATCTAGGGATCTATCCATCCCCGCGTCAAAAACTATGGTTTTAAAGAACATGGAATTTGAAATCAGATCTGCTATTATGGGCACTACTGTATTAATGTTTTACTAGGGCTCTGGCAAAAGGATTTAAAAAGCAGTAGACCAAACCAGAAAATATGAAGTAATGAATGAAACATCCTATCACACCAAGAAAAAAAAGGTGTATTTACAGAAATACCAATTTATGTCCAATACTGATAAAAAAACTAATGTACTATATGCCATTCGCTGGACAGAATGTTTTTTGTAAATAATTTAAAGATAAAAAACGATAAAAATTTTTGTGCCCATGAGCTTTCTAATATATATATATATATATATATATCTAGTAGAAAATGAAAAAAAAATTTTCGCGCTGCATTTTCGGATCGAATCAACTAAGAAATACTTTGAATGAACAACAAGGTTTTCAATATAGAGAACCATTGCCAAAATTACATCACTAGATGACGTCGTCGGCATAAATATCAGCGACCGATTCGAAAGGATTAAGGTTGAATATGTAATCTCGTTCATTTGGTGGCGGACTTAATTCTCGAAAACAATTCAGTTGACCTGAAAAATTACTTCAGTAATCTTCTAAACAATACATAGAAAATATAAATTTTTCAAAATAACCCATTCATTTCACTGAAACTAGCTGGCATAAGAAAAATATGTATTTTACTATAAACTGTTTCGGATCGCAATATGCTTTCTAAAGATTAGAAAATTACTTTGTTTCAACGATAACCAATTTTTTGTTTCAATAGGATCAGTCTGCCGGACAATATCCTTACCTTCATATGCAAATAAAACATAAATAAGCATGAAAACTCAGCTAAACATAATTAAACATGAACTTGCAAATTTTTCATCATTCTCAGGCATAGAAATTCAACAATTTAAAATGCAACAATCTTAATAAATGAAACAAAGAGATTACAAGGTGTTTGCAAGTGTACCACATCGTAACTTTTGACATCATCATCAAGCTTTTTTCTTTTTACTGGACTATCATCGTCTTCCCCCTCCAATAATTGACCAGGAACATCACCGACAATTGGATAAGGCACTGACTAAAAACATCTTTCAGTAAAATTTTAGAAAAATTATATAATAAGGAATTCTAAATGAAAAAGAGTAATTCATCTTTTTTTTTCAACAAATATGTCCCAATCTTCGAAAAAGAAGAATAATCACTTTCAAAGGAAATTTCTCATGAATCCGTTTGAAACTTGTCCTCGAATCTTCTTCTCCTTTATTAACAAGCATCACAGAAATTGGACCGTTTGGACTCCGCAATCTCATTTGATACCGATATTCACCTTCACGAACCTAAATCGATAGAAATTTGAGCAAGATGGAAGACTTGTGAAAAATCTTTCATTTAACAATTAAATTTAAATTTCGAAGTTTCTCGCATCAAAACTACAAAAAAAGCAAAAAAATAACAGAAAGTAAAAGAAATGATCAAGGACACCAACTCTTGAAGGATGACCAACTTCGACAGAGGTACCAGGAGGAGCAAATACAACAAAGACAATACTGTCGCGAAAAACCGGTAAAATATCATCTCTGCGAATATAAGCCAATTTTTGATTCGCTTGATTGTCGCAAACATTTCTGATGCTCTGGAATAAATTGAAATTCAAGAAAGGAAAAATTTACTACATTTCTACTTTTCATACAGTATTTTCGACTGCTAAATTTATTATTCTTTTTTAAAATGCGCCTTTCAAATTTCTTTTCATCTTGCGAACAAAAAGGAATAAAAAAACACATACAAAAAGCTTATTTTGACCATGATTTTTTCTTTTAAATTTTTACAACCTGTTTCATCCACTTGATATACGAATCAATGAGACGTTCTTCCTCCACAAGTTCAGATAATTCGGCCTTAAGAAGCATAAGGTGTTCTTCTTCCTCTGGTCTCAACTGCTTTGTTCCAGGCTTTCTTAATTCTCCACCCCTTAAAATTAACTTATTCCGACATTTACACAAGAAATAACGAAGAAATAATAAATAACCAACACAAAATTGTAAATGAAAATTCAGAAAAATTTTTCAACGGTATTGAAAAATCCTTTCTGTAATCAAAAAAGTTAATGAAAACCATACTTCCATTGAATAATAACGAAATAACGAAGAAATAATAAATAACCAACACAAAATTGTAAATGAAAATTCAGAAAAATTTTTCGACGGTATTGAAAAAATCCTTTCTGTAATCAAAAAAGTTAATGAAAACCATACTTCCATTGAATAACATTTTTAGACTTTTTTTCTATAAGGCCAACACCTTCCAAAACATTAGTTATATCGTAGATCCGCCTTTTTTGCCTCACATTAAGATCTTCAGCAGCCTAAAAGATTCATCTTTTATAAGGTGAATATGAAAAAAAATTATAAAAAATTTCATGATTAATCAAAAAGCTCTATTCATTCGATTTATTGTTGTACTACGATTTTCGTAATTGTAACAAGTATCTATCAATCGTACGACCAGGAATATCAATGCAATAGTGAGATCGAAACCAAACAAATGAAAAATTTAAAATTGCCACGAATAATACAGTCAAATAATGCAAAAGTTAAAGGGAAAAAAACGAAAAACTATTAAAAATATATAAAAAATTTAAAAAATTTAATATTAAATGAAATCACCTCGTTCAAATCAACTATACCACCAAGTGACGACTGAAGCAGAGTGAGAAATCTTTGCGTAAGAAGTCCGAGTGATTTTTCCGCTCGTGAACCAACTTGAGGCCGAACATCCTCGTCAGTTTCCTCTTCTTCTTCGTCTTCATATTCCAGTTCATCAATAACATCAGGATTATTTGTTGTTGCCATCTAATCCTAAAGAAAATATCAAAATGATATAAATTCATGAATATTTAAAAAAACATAAATGAACAATATATTAAAATCTATTCATTTATTCTGAAAAAAATGACAGCAAAAAAAAGAAAAATATTTCTGTTTTGAAAATTAATATAAAAGACAATTTTTTTTTTCCAACCAATATGGTTTTTAGAATAAACAGAATAAGTAATAAGAAACAATTTGAAACGATTTCTTTCTTGAAAAGTTGCAAAAAATTCGATCTTCAAACTCACATAACAATTTAATGGCGTTCATTTATGAAAAAGACTAAAATGATAACAATTAAAAAGTTGAAAAATATTAATATTATAAGTGAAAAATACTGAAGATCATGTATAAAAATAAACAATTTCAACTTCTAAGGTCATAAAGTTATGATTCCCATATTCAAGAATCAACTGTAACAGAATGCAGGCCCCTAAACAAACGGGCAGTATGAAGAAATGTTTCAGAATATCTTATTTCAGTGCACATGTGCTTATATTACGATGAAAACGGATAATATCTTCGCTTACGAAGAGAAAATTTGCCGAAAGCAGCAGGAATATAATCGGAGAATGGTACTCGCTCGTAGAATACTGCCAAGTGTTACAGGTCCGGCGTGCCCAAGGAACCCATTTTCTTCGCCTTGTTGAACAATATAGACTTTTTAATTTTTTATCAGATGCTTTTGTCATCAGAGAATATATATACAGTCCACTAACATTTAGAATAAAAAGCGATAAAGGCAATTTTCTCTTCCACTTATAATAGCACACAAAATTTTTGGTTCAGCTGAATCCAGCGAAAAACAAAATGAGACAAAGTAAAAATAGATTTTAAAAAGCACTCACCATTATTGATTAGACTCGCTCCCCTGGCTCGTTAAATTAGATAAATTTGCCAGATCCCCAGTCCCTCGCAAATAAAAATAAAGGTGGGTCGTCAATATCACTCGGATTTCTGGACAAGTTTATTCCTGCGAGAAGTAGAATCCTAATGCTGGCGCTCCACAACAGCAACAACCAACAACCCACTGAACCATTCTATTCTCCTCTGCCTTTCTCTGTTAGGCGACAGTGCAGCTCGACGAAGAGTGGCTGATTCGAACCCAAGCCTATGTTGATTTCCGGTAGCAACTAAGTTGCTCTTGGGCAACCGATGAACCAATGGAAGATAAGTGCAGATAAGTGAATCCATTTCAGTTAATTAATTTCGCCTTTAATAATAGGTTTATTCCTGTGCATAGATTGAAACTATTCAGATCCATCCTTAATCGAAATAACATATATCTCACACTTGTGTGATCCAATATAAATTACTTGTAGTTCATACATTTACCATAATTTTTTATAACTTAAAATTCTATGATTTTTAAAAAATTAAAGCGACTAGCGAAAATAAAATGAATTGATTTATTAACTTGAACGTTAAAAAATTTTTCTGAATATCTTTTTCTTCTAACAGCTCTCACCATTACTTAGGCTGGCTCCAACGGTTACAAGGGTAAGACGTTTTCAAACGGCGAGGTCTGAAACCATCGTCGATAGTAATAGAAGCCATTACTTTTTCTATCGTCTAAGTCCACATATTGCTGGTCCACCTAATTTCTTTTTTTTAGAAAGTCCTCATCATCACTGGTGAAACTCGCTCCCCTGGCTTATCGCACTGGACAAATATGTCAGGGAGTTCCTTGGCGATATAAATACAGGATGGTTCACCTAAATTTTAAAACCCTTCCTTACTGTATCAGACCAGCACCTGATTGGCCCAGCTCGCTTTTGATGCCCACCCATCACACGGTTCAGCAAGTAACGAAATATGCGTCAACTCTTGCAGTGATGGAGAACGTTCCCTAGCCAGCAAAGGCGACACTTTCTGATGGTACTGCTCATGCTGGATGCAATCATATGAGATAATAATACCTAAAAATTTTCTAAAAAATCTTTTTATAACTAAATCGATAATTTTGTGTCGGAAGTTCGATTCACCGTCCCTGGCAAGTCAACCTATCACTGAAGAATTCCAGCGATCAGGGCGATTCGTCCGTACTCCTCCACCGCAAAATGATTATTCCTTGGCTTAGTCTACTCGGTTCGACAAATTAGCGACGAGCAAAATATTTGCTGCGGTTTCGATTTTAAAATATTAAATATTAAAAAATGCAATGCAAACATTAAATCAACAATAAATAAATAACGTTAAAAAAAGCATAGTAAAATGATAACAAATAAATAAGAAAGAATTTTAAAGTGCCGCCAAACGCGCTAATTCCGCAATATTCGTCAACCTTCTTCCTAACGTTGACCCTTCTCTGTACATACATACAGTACAGTACTTCTCGCTGCCTTATAGTTTTCGTCTCGGGACAAATTTTTTAATTTAAAAAGTTAGCAACGCGACATCGGACAAAAAATCATTTCTTGATGACGTATACATAAAATGGAACTATTTTATTTGGCTTATTTTCCTTGTTGATTAATGAAATAATGAGGAAATATGGCGTGAATTCGAATTTTTCCTCAATTTTATTACTATTATTAATTTTCGAGAAACTTTCTTTAATGCTATATTTACGTAAGCTGCAGAATGGTTGTACTAAATATCGGCAGAATATTTTTTTAAAGCATCGGTTCAAATATAGTGAGTAAAAATAGTGAGTAGTATAGTATTGTAGTACGGAGTGTGGTGGAATATCGCTGAATGCTGTACCCATTTCAGGGGTTACTTCCGGCTTTTTGGTTCTTTTGGTCATTTGCGAAGTTCTGCAAAATAATATAAAAAAGTATTACTGAAAATGAAAGTGTAAACAGTTGGTTTCGTTGAAGCGAAACTATCACCAAAAATGAATCGCTCGTATATATATACGTACCACAAATAAACTATCAAAAATATTATTACGTATAACGAAAGCAAACGACGTAACTATCTCGAAACCTAGTGATTGTCAGAAGTACCACTACTATTGTCGTAGCTGAATTATAGTAGAAATTGTGACGAACTTTAATGATATGGTCGTCTTTTGCCATGATTGCTACTCTACGTGGCGGAAGCTTTTTTTCAATTGCAGAATGGGAAAGAGTGGTGAGTGGTGATTTGGTTATGTTGAAGGTTTAAGCTAATTTTTCGATAAAATTCTGAGCTCTTATTGATCTCTTCAAATCTTAGCTATTATTTGATAGCGTTTCCACTTTAGTCATATATTAGCACTTCCAATTGTTTTTTTTTTCTTTTTGACCTTAATTTATGATTTTCGAATAATTTTTTGTAGGTTTATTTGTATTTATTTATAAAATACTTTTATTTATTTTCTTTTTTTCATATTTTTAATTTTTAAATTTTTTTCCAAATCTTTTTGTTCAAAAAATAATTTTTAGTGAAATTTATTTTATATATAATTTATTTTATATAATTTAATTTCCTTTTATTGTTTTGTTTTACCCTTTACTACTTTTTTAAATTTTTATTTTTTGATTTGTTGAAAGTTGTTTTAATATTTTTATGAATTTTTGCCCATATTCGCCGAGGAATTTTTTTTTTTATTTTCAAATAATTATGAGTTTCGTATGAGTTTAGGCTGATTTTATTATATTTAATATTTTGTAAATTGCATTCAGTATATTAGTTTTTGTTGTATAATATTTTTTAGATTTGATTTAGTCGCCTCTATCTTTTTTATTATTTTATCTGATCTCGCTAAGCATAATTTTTGCGTCCTTTTTGTCATTCATTGTTTCTCTGGTTCGACATTTTAAATTATTGATTAGCTGGTTTCATGGTTAAATTTAGCTATAGGTAAGTGAAATAAGCTTAATTTGATGATAATAGTAGGCTTCCTCAATTTTATTGTTTCCCTTCCCCCTTTTTATTGATGAAAAGCGTCTATTTTATCATCTTTAATCATTTCAGCGTTATTTACCGCTCCTTTTGCGTGCTCAAATTGGATTTTTTGTATTGTGCTTTTAATTTATTATATATGAAGCATGAGTGGTGCGAATGAGAATAACGTTGCGTCAACTAAATATTTAGGAATCACTCAACCTGTTTCTATTGCTTTTCCTACAACGAAAGATGCAGAACGTACTAAGCAGGTAAATATATTTGCTATAATTTTTTTCACTTGTATTCATTGGTAGGTTTAAAGCCTTTAACGTACTAATTTTTCAGCTGAAAGAGCGTTTGATATCATATAATTATTATGATACACAAGAAGATGTGAACGCACGTTTAGAAGTATTATGTTCAATTAACTCTATTGTCCAAAAATGGATACGAGAGATTTCAGAGCGCAAGGTACTTTGTTTATAAGTTTCAAAGAATCCGATTGAAATTTATTAATATTAAATAAAAAAATTTTGTATTTCAGCAAATGCCTAGCTCTGAAATTGAAACTGTTGGCGGAAAGCTTTATACATTCGGTTCATATCGACTGGGTGCTCACACTCGTGGTAAAATTCTTGTTAAATTTCGAATGGTTGAAGTTATTAATTGTAATTAGGCGTTTTATTGAATGCCATTTAATATATCTGTTCATAAACATTAAGAAATTATTTTTGTTTGCGATCATCATCATTATAATAATAACCATTTTTTAGGAGCTGATATTGATTTGCTGTGTGTGGTTCCTCGTCATGTCAATAGATCAGATTTTTTTTCTTCTTTTTATGATCTACTTAAACAGGTTATTTATAATCAATTTTTTGCATAGAAAATGTGACTGAGAGCAAAAAAAAGCTAAGTTTTTGGCTTCTAATTCACCAAAATTATTGTTAAAGACATAAGAACTATCTTTAGGACAGGAAAACAAGGAATTTACGCGCAATTCAGAATGCATATGTTCCTGTGATAAAATTAAATTATTCCGGAATTGAAATGGATATTTTGTTCGCAAGGCTAGCGTTGACAAGGATACCAGATGATCAAAAATTAGATGATTCAGTTTTGAAAAATGCTGATAAAGAAACGATCCGATCCTTAAATGGTATTTGCTGTGATATAACTTTTGAAATTTACCGATATTTATTTTTAATTTTCTTCGCTACATTTTTCTTCCATTAAATTGTTATCAGGGTATCGTGTGGCTGATGAAATATTACGTCTTGTACCGAACGTTGATACGTTCACATGGACTTTACGTGCTGTGAAATTATGGGCAAAAAGTTAGTTTATTCATTTACTTTGCCCTCTACTAAGTGGAAAGTTGTCTGTTGTAAAAATATGATTATATGCCAAACAATAAAGCTTGCATAAAAATAAATGCATTGGAAAATTTTCTTTTCGAATGAAAATTCATTGAAGCATTGTCGGAGATGGTCGATTTGCTTCAAATGGCATCGAGCATCATTCGTTCGATTCCTTGGTCCTGAGAGAAGTAAAGGAGTAAGATTAAAAATTCGGGTGATGTTGGCGACTCTGTACTTCTGTTATCGCCAAGTGTTTGTTATAAAAAATTTATAATCGTACTAACAGCCAGCAGAGGTAGAATAATCAGAAATGGTGAACATTAACCACTTATGGTTACTTTTTGTTTGAATTTTCTCCTTCAAATTTCGTTGAAGTAAGTTGAATGTATTTTCCAGACCATGGGATATATTCTAATATGATTGGTTTCCTTGGTGGTGTTTCGTGGGCAATTCTTGTTGCTCGAACTTGCCAACTTTATCCGAATGCTGCTCCTTCTACTTTGCTTGAGAAATTTTTTCTGCTATATAGCACATGGTAAGTGCACATTTTACATCTGAGTTTTATGGTGTGATCGTGCACAGTTCTTATAATTAGCTTCAAAATTATACCTGGTTGCTCGTCTTTTTCAATTTAAAGTATAAAATATTCATTGTTTAAATTAACGAATTCCACTTTATTTGTCTGATGAAATATGATTTATGATTTTTCATTTTTTTTATTGTTAATTTTTTTTTGCATTTTTATCGTTCAGGAATTGGCCACAACCAATTATGTTGAAAAGCTGTGATAAAGAGTTAAAATCCTTTGAATATTCATTGGCTTCAGAACTCCAGTGGGACCCTCGTGTCCACCCGAATGATAGGTTCACTTTCTTTTGCCAATTTTTTAAATCAGTTGTTTCAATTAAAAATTAGCCTGTCTTGGTCATAAAATATATCATTTGCCCATATTGTATTTAAATCTTTTATTCATTTAGGTATCATTTAATGCCAATTATAACTCCAGCTTTTCCTGAACAAAATTCGACTCACAATGTTACTAATTCAACTCGACAAATTATCAAAAATGAAATTGTTGATGGTAATTTGAAAATATTTTTTTTAATAATAGAGTTGAAATTGTTTGAAAAGAGCTTAGATAGATAATAGATAAATTTGTTTGCATCTTAATATGATTTAATATGATAATTATTGTATCAGTATTTTATTCTGAATTGTTTTTATACAAATTATATTTTTTCTAACGTTATTTTTTTTAGGTCTTAAAACCATGGTTGCAATTAATAATGGAAAAGCAGATTGGTCTTTGCTATTTAGTGAAGTTAATTTCTTCTCACGTTACAAACATTTCTTGGCTTTACTTTGCACGGCGAAAAATGAGGTTAATATGTGGCTTTCACTTTTTTTGTGAACTATTCTTGTTTATAAACGTCGGTAACAAGTAATGAAAAAATTTCCACCCTTTCCTATGTAAAGCCTTAGTTTAATTAATCTTATCTAGGTTGTATTATAGCGGTATAACAATTTTATTGAAGCAGTAATCATTTATGGCTAATTATTTTTTATTATAGCAAATAGGAATTATTTAACACTATATAATTTGTTTTTCGAGACTTTTTATCAATTTTTTGTATGTTTGCTATTCATTTAATGGAAAATTTTAATTATTAGGAAGATCATTTGATATGGAGCGGATTTGTAGAATCGAAAATTCGTCATTTAATTGCCAGCCTTGAACGAATGCCGTCTATACTGTTATGCCATCCTCATCCGGATCATTTTAAGCCAATTATTGAACTTTCTCCTGATATAGCCGATTCGTTAGTTCTTTTTGATTCAAAATTGATACAATTGTTTTAATTGAGTTATTTCCTATTTCTCATAATTACTGAATAGATCTGAATGGAATAATTAACAAAATCTTCCTAAAAAATTTTATTTATATTTTTTTATCTTAAAAAAAAAGCATGGCGATAAGCACCATGCTTTTTTTAACAAAATTATTTGAAGCGTTTATTTAAAGGAAATTGGTAACATCGATATGAAATAAAAGGAAATGTTGAGGAAGAATGTCCGAAAGCTAATAACGAAACATGATTATTATAGAATTTGAAATATAAAAAAGGAACATGATTATTAATAAAATTCCTTAAAGTATAAAGCATTAGCCAAATTCACATGATTTTAGAAATAATAAATATATCAGGATTATTTTTGTTGTCAGTTTATCGTTTGTGAGATTTTTTAATGGTTAACAAAGGCATTATTGCAGTGATTCATGCGTTTTGGTCTGGTTTGTCGGGCTTCAACTGAATAAAGAATTAAGCAAGCATATTGATTTGACTGATGAGATACGAATGTTCCATGAATCTCTCCTTCGATCAGCTGAAAGTCAGAACATATATGCTGCAGGAATGAACGTTAGATTTGTTTTTCATTTAGTGATTTGAATGGATGGGAAAAAATGATTGGGTTTTTACATTTATCGTCGTAACTATTCTAATCCTGATATAGTCTATATTACCATTTTCTTTCTCTCCCATATTCTTTATATACCATTTTCCACCATTGTTCTACCTTTTGGAGATAGATTTGGACCTTGGAGCTACAACTTTGGCAAAAGTATACAGGATAAGCAGAGTATTAAAGCAAATCAGCATAGGGTTTTGGCGTTGTTAAGGGTATATTCCGTGAAATTTGGGAAGCTTATTTACTAAATATGAGAAGTTTCTGGTAAAATGATTTCTATATAATGGACCAAGATTTGGCATTGTGACGGATTTTCAAGTGTTGATAAATTGGACCAAAAGAGACAACAAGACACTGGTATCATAGTATGCCAATGTGGGCAAAATCTTTAAGAGTCTGACTTAATAAATATATTATTTGGGAGTTTAAGGAAGTATTAATATTTGACTATATGTTTTTAAAAAAACATGGTGTGATTTGATTAAAAAGGATTGAAGATATTTTAAAGGCGTGGGGTTACAATAAATTCTGAAGAATTGCTAGTGAAGAGGTTATAATAATATTAGAGGTTGCGGTTATAAAATTTATGACTTAGTTATTGAAGAAGAGATAAAACTAGGTTTGATGGAGCATTAAGGGAACATTAGAAGTGGTTTCGAAGCATGTTGAGGGATTACAATAGTTTCTGACGTTGTGGTAAGAAGTTTTGAAGGGTTATGCGGGATCCTTGAGGATATTACTAATGGAGTAAAGCAAAGTGGAACCAAAGGTTCTGAAGGGGAATAAGAGGATTTGCGATAGTGTTTAGCGGAGGTGGAGGATTTTGATACAGATGAGTTTTTCCAGATACGGTGCATATAAGCAGCAAATTGTTCAAATAGCGAGTATTGTTTGTGATCATGAGTTTATTAATTTTAAGGTGCATCTGTCTTATTTGCGCCGCGCTGATTTGCGTGATTGGTTAAACAAAGATCAACTTGAGCGCGGTCGAATAATTAAAAAACGTTCAATTAATGGTGATACTGATTCATCAAAACCATCTCAGACAAATGATCCAGATGGTCAATCTTTAATTCAGGTATATTCGTGTTTTCAAAAGCTTAATATATCTTGAAATTATATTCTTCTAGATTTAAAATGTTTCTTTTTGCAGAAAAATGAAAATTCTGACAAAAGATCTCATGAAATAGATGAATCAGACCAAGTTATCAAAAAGCAAAGGTATATTTAGGGGAAGCAATCCTGCATTATGTCTAGTCATCTACCACTTACTGATTTTGGTGAGTGTATTCTGTAAATATCTTAATTTTTGGCGATTTTATTGGATTTCTTTTTATGGAAATTTGCAAAACAGTTTTTTTCTAAATTATAGATGTGCCCTGAAGTTCCTTGTTGATATTTGTATATAACTACATCGCGCAGCAGATTCTCATTCCACTGTATTTTGTTTATTCGCACAACTTATTTTATCTGATCAGTGAATTGGGCGACAGTGACGCATTTGTTGTTACCCGCAGCTAGTTTTTTTAAATTTCTTTTCTAGTGATACTCTTAACAATGCGTTTCTGCTGCCATTGCATTTTTTCTTTTATATCGTAAAATTGAAATGGAAAAAAATATGAAAGAAAAGTAGAAAAAAGCCAGATTATAATTTTACTTGTTTTCAACTTTATTTAGATACGAATTTCCATCTTAATTTTTTCTTGTAGAATTGGTATTCGCATAAACTATTATGATTACATCTTTCTTAATAAATCGTGCCCAGTAAGATTCACTTTTTTTTGGCTTTGTTAGAATTTATTGAAGTTGAGGGATATCGAGGAAAGAATATTATAATTGATCTTGATTCGACACTCCTTTTGCGAGGGAACGATTTAAAAGGAAAGTTTAAAAAGTGTAGCAATGATCTCTCAATTATCTGCTTTTTGTGATCGTTTTCATTTGTACTATTTTTAGCATCCGACAATGCTTTATTTATTATATAACTTGTTTTTCATTTATTTGATCCACTAGCAATAATTTTATTTTTTCGCTTAGTGGATATATCTTTATATGATTTTTATTCGTCAATGAAAGAAATTTTCAAAAGTTTTTAAATGCTTTTTATATAACAGTTTTACTATTTTAATTTTTGTTGATAATTTTACTTATCAATTAATTAGTCTTAATTTATATGCAGTTGATGTTGAAGGTTACAATTCTTATATAGTTTTATACAGTTTTGTTCAACTTTTACAGTCAAATTTTTTTATTAACATATTTTTTATTTTTTCCATTATGCCTCCGGTCTCATTATTATCTAACCTCAACGAATTTCCGTTGAAGATTTTTTGCAATGTAAAAATAAAAAATTGTTTTGACATCTTTGTATTTTAAAATTTTTCGTTTTATTATCGGGTTCAAAATACGGAGGGTTTAAGGAGGAATGATATATTTAAATCGGTTCATTTAAATATCATAACTATCGGGATTCGAGATTTGAGATAAAGAAATTGGATACTCAACATTTCGCTAATATTTGAATCAATCAAATAGTAGTGCAACTAATTGATTTAATAAAAATTTAAAAGTTTTAATATTATCGAATTAATCGCAGCAACAATTGTTATCATAATTTCATTTCTCATTTGTTTAATCTCTAGTATTTCAAAACTTTGAAATTATTGTAAATTTTTTAAAAATTTCAGTGTTTCGTCTAATCGTACTATTACTGAACTGCAGCCACAAAGAGAACGATAAGCCATCTGTAAATTCTTGATTCCTTTTTTCGAGTGGGCGAATTTTATCTAATCATGGTATTTTATCGTATAAGGGGCACAGAATCTAGGAAATTTATTGATAAGAAAGAGACTGTTATTTGTATTGAATTGCTCACCTTTGTGGCTCATTGTCAATATTGTCTAGTATTTTTTTTTTATAAATTTCTGTTTAGAATGGTTTATTTGAATAAAATTTAATATACTTTATTATATTTTATCATTAGTTTTCACCAAAATCTTTATAAAATGTTTAATTTCATGTAGCATTAATAATATTCATAATAGGTTCAAATTTAATCAAAGCACAGTTTAACCACTGAACAAAAAAAGGGCCGAAAAAAGGAAGTATGCGAAAATAATCCGAAATAAAAAAGGTTTTACGGTTGCAGCTTATCACAGAGCTTATCACCTACAACTTATCATCAGAAAAGTTCATCTTATCGAGGTGTAAGTGACCGAATCAAAAGAATTATTAAATATAAATCAGAGCAACTATGCCATTCGTAAACTATGTAAATGCTGACGTTGTTAAAATTCTTTCAACTTATACCATCCTTTGCCTTCTAAATCCAGTTGTTCATTTTTCGGATTGCATCCATCCCCAGAGTTCCATTTTTTTTTTCAGAGTTCCCTAATCGTTAAAAATATGTCTTCAGATTTCGCGAAGTCCATTAAATCTTTCAAACCCTTCGTCTTACTTCGTCATTAACTTTTCCAGGCATTGCCATAAACTTTTTCTTAAGATCTTAATCTCTGTAATGCCACTAAATTCTTGATAAATCATTCAAAATCTGTTACCTTCAAACCTTCAAAACGCACAAAATCCTCATGCTTAATCCCGTACCATGTTCTTTTTAAATAAAATAGTAATATTTTTCTTTATCTTTGAGTCTGTCAAGCCTTTACATGTTATCAGCGTTATAGCAGTCTACTAGCAGTACATTGTGTTGCCAAGATTCCTTTACCTTTTTGTCGCAATCCACTAATCTTCTTTAGAAATTTTCGGTACTAACGAAAATTCAATCCATAGTATTGGAAACTTTAGATATTCTATAAAGCTGACCATAAAGGCTTGCTAAAGTCCGTCAAGTATCTCTTGAATATCCCAGCAGTTCTGCTAAGTTTTTGCCACAAATTCATTTATTCCATCCTGTGGCATGGTCACTTAATGCCACACGTCCCATTTTTTCCTTAATGCTCCGTCAAATAGAGGTTTTCCTGGAGTCGCCGTTACAAATTATGGAATTAAAGGATAACATGACGGTATTTGGGAGTGCCTTTTCGTCATATAAGCCAGTAATACTTTCTACAACTTGTTGTACTGTCTAAAAATTCATTTTAAGTTCATTTCATCTCATTGCATTCCATTAGTAATCTCTTCAAATACCACTATTTCATCCTTTCCTTCCCATAGCTTTTTGATAGCTTTAAGCTTCGTTGTGCTTGTATAAATACCTTCGCAATACACCTTTAACCTACATTAATTCTCCACACCCCTCAAATTCCACGAAACTCATCACTCACTAACCTTTTAAACTTACAATATCTTATCGCTCCAAGCCCATTTATGCTCTTAAAATAGGTTTGGTTACTCTTAAAACATTTGAAACGCTGGGAATATATATATATATA